CGCCATTCGCTTCGTCACGCCAGCGCTCTGGATGCCTCCTCCACCAGCTTGCTCCATAGTCGATATCCGAGCTCGCCAAGTCGCAAGGTGCGAACATCGCTGCCGCCCCGATTTGCTCCGGCTTCAACTCGACCCGTCCCGGGTCCGGCCATTGGAGGACTTGGGGATTCCAACACGCGCGGCTTCGATCCTTGAAGCGCCTACTCCCACCATGGTGTGTGATGTGATCGTCGCTTCATGAAGCCGGCGGAGATTGATGCGTTCTCTGCTTCATGAACGCATGATCATTGGGTGCATTTTGATCCAAGTCGACCCGCCACCCATTTGGACTTCACTTTTTCAGCGTCTACATCGCATACTTGCGTCGGCTTGTCTCGACGACAGCGCTTGCTTCCTTGAAGGTCGTGATGGGCGGCGCCCCTTGGAAACTTGAGTTCAAGCATGTCTCCTTTCATTGACTCGCAAGCGCAGCAAGCGGCTACTACCCCTCTATTAGTCCGAGCGAAAGCGTCCACAGTGCCTCTTCCATCGGCGGCACCGTAGTCCAACCGCACATACCATGCCCAGTCGTGCCAGGTACTTGATGACTCTTTTATGGGATGTTCTCTATCTCTCTGTGTTGTACGCGCGAAGCTGCGGAAGCAACCACCATTGGCGCAGTTGCCGTTGGAGGATTTTCCGCCTGCGAATACCAGCCAGTCGTAACTTGGGCCGCCGCAAAGACTTCGTCGCGATCAGACGTCGCTGGTAGCGAGGCGGCACAAGTCACTACGGGCGCAGCTGTCACTGGGTTCAATATTTGAATCGTTGAAGTGGATGAGGCCAGCGCCCAGCTGGTCGAAGTTGGTGCGATACGACTTGCGATTTCTATGCCCCCCGAAGAGAAAGGCAGTTGCACGTGGTGTCGATGCCAACTTTGGATCGGCTGCGTGACGAACTGTCCTGCAAGCAAACCTACGAAACGGAGCCTTCCGGACAAAAGGCCAAAGACATAGCAAACAATTCGCTTTAATATACGAGCTCCGCACAGAGACAAGGTCGCGCTGCGAGCCGTTGTCGCCGCCCAGGTTGGATCACGCGTAATCGAATCTAATATTATGGCTCCACCCATTTTGACCAAAATTTGGCTCTTCTTTGGCTCTTTTTTAGCAAACGCATTTTATTACATACTCTCTTCCAGTGAATTGACTTAATTTAATGCAACTCGAAGGACGACGACAACTTCGAGGCGCCTGTCGATAAGTCCCACGCTGTCCAGCAAGCGTAATCCCCGAGGCGGATGGCTTCTCGAAGTTCGAAGAATGTATACAAAGTCCAAGATTAAGACGTGGCGGCGCACCATGCGCTCTTCGATCTTAGGTATTGCCAGCATCAAATACACATACAAATAGCAAGTGCTATAGGAATAAAATTGACCCGCCTTGGCGCCAGCCTCCAAGCTACTGCCATGTGGGGCAGGGCCGCGCAGCAGTAATGCAACCTCGGCCAGGTGGTTCTTAGATCATGGCCATGCCAGCTGGCTACTGCGCTCCCGGTTCTTCGGCCAGTTGGTGTTTCCCTTCGTCGACACGAAGAAGTGAGGAGCGATGTCCCACGACCCGGCCCACGAGCCCTATCACTATGACCACCATGGCATGAGCCTCGAGCCCATGTACAGCCACGGCGGCGCCTCGTCCTTCCACATGCAGATGCAGCAACAACAAGCGTCGTCGTACCACAACGCGATGGCGAGCAGCAGCAGCAATAACAACGCCAACAGCAACGCCAACAACCAGTACGCGCTCAAGCGCAAGGCGCCCGCGTCGCCGCCGTACACGGCCGAGCCCGTCGTCGCCGCGCCCACGTCGGCGCCATTGTCTGGCGGCCCGCAAAGCCAGCGCACGTGCGACGTGTGCAAGTACCCGGACCCGATTCTGACCGTGCCCGAATGCGGCCACACGTTCCACTCGCGCTGCGTGGGCATTTGGCCAATGCTCACGTGTCCGTACTGCCAAGGCGACGTGGCCAAGATCGCGGTCGTGCCCGTCGACATGTCGTCCAAGCCGACCCAGCGCAGCGGCAAGTGGACCAAGCAGGAAGAGAAGTTTGTCAACATGATCGTCGACGAGTTTGACCATGGCACGTTCCCGCTCGCGAATGGCACGCCCGTGCGGCTCGTGCTCGCCAAGCTCCTCAACTGCTCGCCGATGCGACTCTCCAAAAAGTTTCAAAAGAACGCGCTCGGGAAGCGCACGTACCGCGTGCCAAAGACGTCCAACAACGGGTTCCGCATTTGCTTTGACACCGAGTCGCACCAAGCGCGTCAGATTGAGTTCTCCGCTGCCGAGTCGGCGTTCCGCCAAGAGGTCGTCATGCTGCAGCGCAAGGACAATGCACGTCAAGACGGCTTCCTTGAGCTCCACGACCTCCGCCTCGCCGTCATTCAGTTTTGGGTCTCCAACTTTCTCAAGTTTGCCATGTCGGTCGGCCAGCAAGTCGACGGCCTCGACACGACCGAGCCCAAGAAGAAGAAACAGGCCATGCAGAAGCTCCGCGAAGGCATGTTTGACCAGCTCCTCTCGTGGTCCAACCCGAATGCCCCCGAGCCAAGCACCGTCGACGCGCCGTCCACGAGCACCAACCCCAACCCTACCCACAACCTCAACCCTACCAACAGCAACGCCAACAACGCCGGTAACAACAATGGCCACCGCAGCAACGGGGCGCCACCGGCCAAGAAGGTCGCTCGCCGCCCGGACGTCGAGCACCAGCATCAACCGCCGCCGTCGCAGAGTCCGTGGGACACGCCGTTCATGGACAGCGGCATGAAGCACAGCCAGCACAACGTCGAGTACGGCAAGCCCGACCTGGACTTGACGAGTACGAGCAGCAGCAACATGTTTATGAACACCATGTACACCAAGGTGCCGCAAGCTAGCTTCCGCCAACAGCTCGACAAGCACGACGGCGGGCGGTACCATCACCGCGAGGCCATGCCGCCCTTGCAGCCCACGTACGGGCTCCCAAATGGGTACGACTACAAGCGTCGGACACCGACGTTGACGCCCTTGTCGATGCGCGCGGGCGGCCCGCGGCTGCCCGACAGCATCTTTGACGACCACAACGGCCCGTCGGCGCTCGACGCAGTGCTCATGAACACACCAACGAACGCATCGTTCCGGCCACCGACCCCCGGCCAAGGCCCGCCGCCGTCGTCGCACTACGACCCGATGGAGCCGATCCAGCAGTACCCGCCAAACGCGTCGTGGGACCAAATGCTCGATGACTTCACGGGCATCAACACGCAGCTCGTGGATCCGTCACTGCATGCGTGGTCCAACATCCAGCTGACGTAAGTCGACAAGGACCGCGATGGTGAAGATGAAGAACGTAAACGTAGTGTCGTGTATAGACTCGGTCGTAGCTAATATAACTATTTTAATGCAGATATAGCCCTATGAAAATACACAAGTTGTCTATTTTCTAATAGACGCGGTAGGATAGAGAAGGTACTCATACAGTATGTTGAGAGGTGGGTACCGGCAAAATAGATGCGTGCCACTAGGGTGGCGTCGGCGACACCACGAGCTCAGTTCGTTGAGCCTCGATGGATCTTGTTGAAGGCACTTCTTCGGTGCGCCAACTTCGATGCAAGCTGACGTTCCGACGTACACGCCTTGCAACGACACGAGCTACTCGACTGTACTACTCGGTGAGTAGGGTTCTATTGGCTATAGAGCAAAAACAACTAGACTCGTAGAAAGTGACGCAACTCCGTGTTTGGCGTGCGTGCAGGACGTGGGTGGCTAGAAAGGACGGATGGGGCAGCGCCGGTGGCGCCGTCAGGAGCACCAAGTTCCGGCCATGTTTTCTGTCATATTGCTTGTGCTAGAGTATTCTGTTTGGTGTCCTCTCTTGCAGACACGTCGTGAGCGTCGTGAGCGCTGTCTGCGATGCCGGAAGATTTCGATGGTCTCTGCAAGCGTTCTCATTGGTGGAAATAATACAGCTTGGCGCAAGGCCATTGGCTGAAATCGTCTCGGTGGTATCCGCCAGTCCATCTCGCATGATGCTGGTTGCCCGTGCACTGCGCAAGCCCGTCGTGGGCCGCCGCCATCTCTCGTTCTTTGGCCGTCTCTTTGGCGACGACGAGGGCTCGCCGGCTGCTGCGCCAACGACCTTTGGCTCGAGTGAGTACCACCTCGCGCTGCTCGGGTACGTTGCGCAGACCATGCACCCGCAGCACTCGCTGGCCGCGATCGTCGAGAAGGACACAGACTTTCTCATGGGCCACGTCCTGATTGGTGCGAGCCAATACCTCTCGCCGCATACGCACGCCGACAGCGTCCACGCGTCCTCGCGCGTCGCGACGGCCAAGGCCATTGCCGCCCGCGGTACGCTTCCGCTTCTTGTCCTATTCCTCATCGTCATGCAGTCGAGACGAGCACGCTGGAAAAGTGGCACGTCCACGCCCTCGACTACCTCGTCCAAGGCCAGTGCCGCAACGCGGTTGCTGTCTACGAGACCATATTGCGCCATGATGTGACCGATCTCCTCGCGCTCAAGTGCGCCACCGAGCTCTACGCGATCCTCGGGTACATTGCTGTATATAGACAAGCTGTCCAATGCGAAACGTTAGGGACAAGAGCAACATGCTTCACGTGGTCTCCCGCGTGCTGCCGCAGTGGTCGGCGACGATGCCGGGATACAGCCACCTCCTAGCGATGCAAGCGTACGCGCTCTCAGAGAACGGCGACCACGGCGCCGCGCAGAGCCTCGCCGACCGCGCCATGTCCATGCACGAAGAAGACGCGGTTGCGTGTACGCCTCTTCGTCGTCGCTGAGTATCGGCTCATGGTAGATACGTAGTGCATGCTCTTTTGCATGTCTTTGAAGTCCAAGGCAAGCACCAAGACGGCGCGAGTCTATTGCTACAGAGTGCGGTAAATCGACAAAGCCGACACTATTGTCGTTGGTGCTATATTGATACATTGATATATATGCTATTAGGACCAATGGGAGACGTACGCGGTGTTGCGGACCCATGTGCAGACGCATTTCGCGCTCTTTCTCATTGAAACCGGTCGCTACGACCGCGTGCTCAAGCTCCTTCGCCACGATATTTTGACGTCCGAGGTAGTAGAATGGACAAGTTGTCTGATCGACCTGTGGACATGGATCGTGTAGACCATGTCGGCCAACGTGTTGATCGATGCGACGCAAATTTACTGGCGCCTGGTTCTTGCGGGTTTTCCCGCCGACTCGATTGCGATCGAGCTCATGACGCAGTGGCGTCACGTTGTCGACAGCCACGTCCCGCTCACGCCGCTTGCTATGCTCCATGCGCATGTACGATATGTCTTGTGCCATGAGTATACGAAGTGTCAATTAGACAATGTTGTCGCATGCGTCGGCGCCCGACGACATCCGCATGCAGCTCGCCGCGCCCACGTCCGGTACCAAAGGATATGTGCGCGGAGTATAGCTTACACTGCGCGTTGAGACAGGACTTGGTGACGACGCGTGGGACGTGGCGACTGTAGCGGCCGCACTCGAGCGCAGCGTGACCACATTTAGCTACCCGGATGCTGGTACAGCCCTCGTTGACCAACTCGAAATGACATGTGGGGTTAGGGTTTTCGGTCACTGCGCAAGCTGCGTTCGCAGCGGTCACGGCCTACAACGAGGTTGTCTCTCCGTGACATGCCAATAATGTCGCGTGACGCCGGTTGTAGCATCGGTTTAACGACGCGGTTACTGGTCTCTTGCGCGTTCGGACGCAAGCCCACGTACGTCTCCATTGATTATTTTCCTATTTTTCATATTTTCTATTTTTCCTATTTTTCCTATTTTTCCTATTTTTTATTTGACATGTTGCTATAGGTACTTGGCGGGTCCAAGGTCGAGCAGGAGCTCTACGATATGCTGCTCATCGATGCGTGCGTTCTAGTCCTTGTTGTTGCAGCTCGATACGATTGTGTTGTGGGTAGGGCAACCCGTGGTGGGCAGTATGACCTCGCGCAACTTGTGCTCAACGAGCGGTACGCTTCCTTTTGAAAGCTTGATAAAAAGAATCGTGTGTAGGATCAACGCCAAGCCGCAGAGTGCGCAGTACTGGCACACGTTTGGCAACGTCATGCGCGGTCTCGGTGACGCCGATGGCGTCGACGGCGCTCGCCGCATGAGCTACGTCCTCGGTACGCAAGCGTTGAGTCAAATAACACAAGGTAGATAACAGCGTGTTGTAGGCCTCGGACAAGCCGGCGCCGGCGCCTCGTAAGCCTATCGACGACCGCCGACATGGACGTTAGCGACTAAAAACACGCAGTTTTAAACCGTCCTATAGATTTCTAACGTATCATGCTCCCAGTATCGTTGAAACCAACCTGCGTGGAGAGATACCAGTACTAGTCTAATTATACTATCGCGCTAAACCATCGCGACAGTATCGCAACACGATTTTCAAGGCCTCGCATGTCGTGCAGTTGCGTCCGGTCCGTGCCTGCCCTTGACTGGACTTCAGAGTGTTGCACGCCGCCGGTGCCAGGCACGTGGTCGTGCTGCGGCCTCGACAGCTACCACCACCTCGGCCTCGGCCTTCTTTGGGCTCTCTTTCTGAGTCTTAGCGTCACAGCCCACGTTCGGCACGACCTATTGCATGATTTCCATCGATCGGCCCACGACCTCCACGACATTCAAGCCCAAGGTACACATTGCCCTTTGCACTTCAAATATGACGACATCCTGTAGCACTCGGCGTCGTTGTCGCGCGCCGTCAGCGCGTGTATTTCGGACTCTGCGACGCGCGGCGAGGCCTGCAACTCGGTGCCATGTGGCTGGAGCTACTCGGGTTTAGCGCCGGCCCACTGCAGTTGTTATTGCCGAACGAGCAATTGGGTGCATTTTTCCGGTTGGGCCAGACCAACGGTACTCTCCAGCTCACGGCGTTTCTCACTGTCATCGGTCTCCTTATTCTCTGCGCGGTCGCGTCGTGGCGGCAGTATGGGCGGCTCGAGAAGCTGTGTGCGCCGTTTGTGTTTGACTTGTGCTACATGACATTTATGTACACAACGATGAACGTGGTCGGCTGCACGGGCGGCATCGACACCATCGCGCTCGGGTCCCATTTGACGACGTGTGCGAGTCCGTCCCGGTACTATCTCGTGCTCGGTGTGGGTCTCCTCGTCTTTGCTAGTCTCTACTACGGTACATATCTTGTCTGATGCGACGCCATGTTCATCTATGCCGGCAGGTGCCCTCGTATACAAGAAGCGGCTCACCACCGACGTGTACGCGGTGCGCTTCCGCTTCCAGGCGTCGTTTGATACGCTCATGGTCATGACCCGTACCCGTACCGTGTCCTAGCGTTTGTATTGCGTTATGACACGTTGGTGTAGTCTGCGGACTGACGATTTTGACATTGGAGAAAAGTGTCTTGCTCGTCGACGCCAACGTCGTCGCGCTGTTCTTTGGGAGTCTCAACTTGATGTTGTTCGGGTCGCTTTTGCGGTACAACTATGTCTGTCAGCCCGTACGTCTCGTTTGACGTCGACTATGGACATGAAATGTCCATTTTAGTTCCGAAGTTTTGAACCTTTTGGTGTGTAGTGCCTTGGCGTGGGCTATGTGCCCAACAACGTTCGCGCGCTCTCCTTTGCTACGTCATGCTACACGACCGTACTGCTCTTGCTCGTGTCCGCCCAAGCCGAGGGTAGCATCAACCGGCACATTGCAGTCGTTGCCATCGTCCTATATCCGCTCTATGCACTCGGCATCTGGCGCTGGAACGGCAAGCGCGCGGCGCGCTATCATGTGCCCAACCTCAGTGTGTTTGACGGACTCTCGCACGAGTCGGACCGTGTCCGTGCGATCACGGCCGTCACGGTTACGCTCCAAGGGCGCGCGCTCGACATCGATACGGTACGGTCGCTGCTATTTGCTCTGACCGCGATTGTACGCCGGCCAACTACGCCCAAGACGTATGCTCCCGTCTATGCGTGCCAAGCGCTTTGGTTTCTCTGGCGACATTACTTGGACAAGGTCAGCCTTGTCGAAGCGACGACCGGCCCCCTTGTCGCATCTCGCCTCTGGGCGCTGTTGTTGACACGGTCCAGTGCACCGGACAGCAGCATACGGGCACAGTCGTCGGGTCGCCGGCTGAGCACGATTCGTCTGGGAGCGATCGCAAGTGTCCCTATTCTCATCCAGTTGGTCGAGACATCGGTCGTCGCCCGGCGCGCGCGACGCGCCATCGATCGCATTTCGACACGGGACCCGCTCGTGATGGCGTGCTTGGAGCGCACGGTAGCGTCGCTTTGCGCCTTGGCCACCAGTCCCTCTGTCGACATTCGATTCATCGCGAGCAAGGTGCTCCATGAAATGTACGTGGCGGGCGTCGTTCGGCTCGGGGTCCGAACGTTCTTTCGTGTCGCGGTCGCGCTCACCGTGTCGCCGGCGCGGGCCAAGGCGTTTACTGCAGCAACGACACTGGCGGCCTTTGCGTCGCACCGTAGCGACATATGGGTGGCCCTCACGGCGACCGAAGACGCGGTGACGCTCAGCACGCTCGTGGACGCCCTCATCTTGCACGATGACGTCACGTTTCGCACCGAGTTGCTGCCACTCGTGGCACGTATCGTACATTCGCTGGCCAACATGGGCACAATGGCGCCGCGACCATCCCAGTATATCACGCAGGCAGTGGCGAAAGGTTTGCTGCAGCTCCAAGCAGCCGCCGACGAGACGCTGTTGGCGCAACTCGACGATGTTCTGGACGCACTGCTATTGTGCTGGGATGCACACAAGCCGGTGGCTCCCGCCCAACGTTTTACCCGCATTAGACCCGAGACCAGCTTTGGCCGGACGAGTGACGCCTGGCGGCATACACCGCTCGTCTCGCTTCCGCAGCGCCAGGCCCTGCAACGGCGACAAGACGCCCGCCGACGGAATAGGGTCCAGCCCAGCGACGGGCGTCGACGGGACGTGTCGACTGCGTGGCGCGATGCAGCACCGAGCCAAGCACGAGATGCGACGGTGTGATCCTGCAATGTGGGGCTGCCACGTGTCTGGCCCGTATCCGTAAGAACTCCGGATACTATGCCCACGGGTGAGCATGGACCTGGTGTACCCAACGCCGCCGACAGCGCCAGTCGCCCTCGACGCACTCGCCGACGCGGCGCTCGCTCGCCTGCGCGTTCTTGTAGCCACCGATGCGAGCGACGGTGCGCAGCGGACTGCCGCCGACGCCGTCGGGTACTACGGCCTCCGCCTCATGGTGGCAGCGACTAGCGACGCTACCTTCTTCCACGAGTGGTGGCTTCGCGCCGAGACCAAGCTCTTCCGCGCACGCTTGCTTTGGTACCTCGACTCGAACGCGACGGTCGTCGCCAAGAGCGCGCTTGTCCAGTACCTCTTGGCGTTGGCGCCGACTACGTATGCGACCGACGACGACGGCGCGCTGCTCGTGCCATTTTACGAGGTACCGCCGCTCGTAGCGCAGAGGCATACGACGCTACGTGGCGGCTACTGCCGCGTCTCGTCGCTCTCGCACGACATGGCGGTGCTTTTGACACAGCACCGGGCGACGGCGCTCGAAACCGAGCTCACAACCGCGACACGAACGCTCTCGTTTCTGGACCTGGGTCGGTTTGCGAGCCTCATTGCACGTGTACAAGGCGCGATCCGCGAGGCGTGCCAGAGTCGGACAGTCGGCGTACGTGGCGGTCGCCGGCGCCTGGCGTGTACGGCCGACGTGGACGCGGCGCCGCTCCCGCTGTGCATGGCCTCGCTCTATACGACGCTGACGCAAACGCGTCACCTCAAGTACGACGGTCGTAACCAGCTCCGGCTCTTCCTCAAAGGCGCGGGGTTTACGTACGCCGACAACTATGCCTTTTGGAAAAGCCTCTTTTGCCCGCCGACGACTCCCGCTGAGTTTGAGAAGAAGTACGCGTATAACATCAAGCACGGGTACGGCCTCGTGGGCAGTCGGAAGGACTATGCGCCCTTCGACTGCATATCGATCCAAAACGGACCGGCTCCGCGCGCCGGGCAGTGCCACGGGTGTCCGTTCAAGCACTGGGAAACCTCGTTTCTTGTCGCCAAGCTCCGGCCAACCGTCGGGCTCGAAACCGCGACTGCGATCGCCGAGATGGCAAAAAGCGGCCAGTATGGCCGAGCGTGTGCGATGCATTTTGAAGCCAAAACAAAGCGGCAAGTCGCTACGATTGCGCACCCGAATGTGTATTTAGACATGGCCCACGCCGAGTATTAACGGAAAATCCCAAAATCTCCGGAAAATGTGATGCCCTTGGGTGTATGTACGAGCCCAGTTTACACTGTAGTAGGGACCGAGTGGCGCGGTTGTGTGTCAGGATCCAGTTGCGAATGCAGCCACGGAGAGTGTCTCGTTGCGGCTCAGCGCTCAGCATATGACCACCTCAAGCGTCGCGCCGTCGATCGCCGCCAAGTCCAAGGAGGCGGGTAGCGTCTCCGAATGGCTCATGTAAGATCATGGCGTTTTGTATCTATCTATTTATCCATCTATCCATCTACTAGTATCTATCTATCGATGTAGGGCTGGGCGTAACTCCATAGCCCTAACCCTGCCCTAATCATGGAACGACTGTCCGCCACCTTCTTCCTGCATTGTGCTACTGTAGTAGGGCTGTGATGATGCCCGCTAAGTAACGACATTTTTATCGATCTATCACAGGGA